TACAATGCTTTAGTTTTCGAGTGTTTTCACAAGGTGTGTTCAGAAGGATTCGTTTGACTAATGCCAAACGAGTTTATAAGAAATAAAGAAAAACTTGTAAATTAAAACAAAAGACGTTTTGAACTGTAAATATAAATGACATAACATCAAAAGTAGTCGAAAATATGTTGATTCAAACATACATTGCCCTAGCTTGACTCATTTCGCCCGTTCGCTTGAATACTCTTCGGGGAAGTTTTGCAAGAGAAGTTTGTTGTGAAATCTTTACAAGTGGTAGTCTCTTTATTCGAGATAGCTTGTATTTTTACCCTTTCCAGGTGAAATATCTTGGTTAAAGAAGAAGCTGAGACCAGTTCGTGGCGTATAGTCAAGATCAATGGGAAGTTTATATGATTCTCCATCAAATGGTATCTCTTCGAGGAAGTTTCGCAAGAGAAGTTTGTTGTGAAATCTTTATAAGTGGTAGTCTCATTATTTAAGATAACTTGTGTTTTTTACCCTTTCCAAGTGAAACATCTCGGTTAAATAAGAAACTGAGACCATCTCGTGGCTTATAGTCAGGATCGAGGGGAAGTTTATCTTATTCTCCATCAAATGGTACCTCTTCGAGGAAGTTTCGCAAGAGAAGTTGTGCAATCTTTATAAGTGGTAGTCTCTTTATTTGAGATAGCTTGTGTTTTTACCCTTTCCAGGTGAAATATCTTGGTTAAAGAAGAAACTGAGACTAGTTCGTGGCGTATAGTCAGGATCGAGGGGAAGTTTATCTGATTCTCCATCAAATGGTATCTCTTCGAGGAAATTTCGCAAGAGAAGTTTGTTCTGAAATCTTTACAAGTGGAGTCTATTTATTTGAGATAGCTTGTGTTTTTACCCTTTCCAGTTGAAACATCTTGGTTAAAGAAGAAATTGATACCAGTTTATGGCTTATAGTCAGGATCGAGGGGAAGTTTATCCGATCCTCCATCAAATAGTATCTCTTCGAGGAAGTTTCGCAAGAGAAGTTTGTTGTCAAATCTTTACAAGTGGTAGTCTCTTTATTTGAGATAACTTGTATTTTTACCCTTTCCAGGTGAAACATCTTGGTTAAAGAAGAAACTGAGACCAGTTCGTGGCTTATAGTCAGGATCGTGGGGAAGTTTATCTGATTCTCCATCAAATGGTATCTCTTCGAGGAAGTTTCACAAGAGAAGTTTATTGTGAAATCTTTACAAGTGGTATTCTCTTTATTTGAGATAGCTTGTATTTTTACCCTTTCCAGGTGAAATATCTTGGTTAAAGAAGAAACTGAGACCAGTTCGTGGCTTATAGTCAGGATCGAGGGGAAGTTTATCTAATTCTCCATCAAATGGTATCTCTTCGGGGAAGTTTCGCAAGAGAAGTTTGTTGTGAAATATTTCCAAGTTGTAGTCTCTTTATTTGAGATAACTTGTATTTTTACCCTTTCCAGGTGAAATATCTTGGTTAAAGAAGAAACTGAGACCAGTTCGTGGCATATAGTCAGGATCGAGGGGAAGTTCATATGATTCTCCATCAAATGGTATCTCTTTGAGTAAGTTTCTCAAGAGAAGTTTGTTGTGAAATCTTTACAAGTGGTAGTCTCTTTATTTGAGATAGCTTGTGTTTTTACCCTTTCTAGGTGAAACATCTTGGTTAAAGAAGAAACTGAGACCAATTCGTGGCTTATAGTCAGGATCGAGGGGAAGTTTATCTGATTCTCCATCAAATGGTATCTCTTCGAGGAAGTTTCGCAAGAGAAGTTTGTTGTGAAATCTTTACAAGTGGTAGTCTCTTTATTTGAGATAGCTTGTGTTTTTACCCTTTCCAGGTGAAATATCTTGGTTAAAGAAGAAACTGAGACCAGTTCGTGGTGTATAGTCAGGATTGAGGGGAAGTTTATCTGATTCTCCATCAAATGATATCTCTTCGAGGAAATTTCACAAGAGAATTTTGTTGTGAAATCCTTACAAGTGGTAGTCTCTTTATTTGAGATAACTTGTATTTTTACCCTTTCCAGGTGAAACATCTTGGTTAAAGAAGAAACTGAGACTAGTTCTTGGCTTATAGTCAGGATCGAGGGGATGTTTATCCAATCCTCCATCAAATGGTATCTCTTCGAGGAAGTTTTGCAAGAGAAGTTTGTTGTGAAATCATTACAAGTGGTAGTCTCTTTATTTAAGATAGCTTGTATTTTTTACTCGTTCTAGGTAGAACACCAGAATTTTAGGAAACTCATTATTGTTAATACAGATTTCACCTTTAGCAAACGTCGATGTATCTTCTATTCCTTTACAAAAAGAACGAGGGTTGGTGCTGATTCTATGTTTTTTTCTACCTTCATCTTTGAGTTGGTAGTTCATCATCATTCTTATTCGAGGTCCATCTCTTTCTCCTCATTGGACCTGACTACCGATTGGGTTGAGTTGTTTCCAACCATAGGTGCTGATGCTAAATATTTAATTACCAGGAATAAGCAATGATACCAAGCATTCACTTACTAATCTAGTTATTGATGTTTATCGTCATCTCTGAGCGGGTATTATCTTCACCGTTTCTGTTTGCGCTCTTCTGTTTAGCAGGTGTTAATCCCCTGTGTTGATGTTACTCTCTTTTTTCTATCTCCTCTATGAGTGGGTAGTTCACAGTTCTCGGTTAACCGCTGTTATCCTCCCTTTGATGAGTTGATGTTATTTTTTCTCTTCTCCAGACCTTTCCCCAGCGTAGTCAATTTGTCTCCAATAGATTCAAATTTCTATCCCCGGAGTCGTGTTGTTCTCCAGAGATTTATTATCCTGGTTGAATTCTTTTTGTTAATTTATAGATTTTACTTTTTCTTCTCCAGTGTGTGTCTTTCCCATATGCATGAAGTTTATATGGTACATCTATAATCATAAGCATCGCATAGCATCTTAGGGCCACAAATAAGGCTTGTTTTATATTTAAGTATCTTCAATCGCGTCAAAACAAAGATTTTAATCTTCGTATCTCCGGATAGAAGACACTTAAATAAGGGCAGCTGTTATACCCCAATTTTTTCCCCTAAGATCCCTCGTCATACTCTGTACATCTCATACATAGCGTTGGCCCCATGGTTACAGGGCCGAAGAGCTATTGACACTAGGGTTTTTCTCTATGGACTAAGGTTACTATCTTACTCAAAGTTGATTCAACTGGTGCTCTCATCACTCTTGGTATGAGACTAGGGTTTTAGATCACAAGCATCATAGACGTATTGAATGGTAGGGTGCTTCGAGATATAAGGTTGTTTTCATTAGAATTTCTTCGGGAAGAATGCTTTAGGACTTACTGTGTGCTCAAGATTTCATCATGTATTCATTGAGAATGTTCTGAAGTCAGGGTTTTGTTCCTCTCACTATCTCAAGCCTTATTCATTAATGTTCACTCAGATAAAGAGTTAGTGTTTCTCTTATGTAATGATTGAGCTTGATATTAGATCTTCAACAGAGGTTCATCTTGCTAGGTTTCTCCACAAGACTTTCATTTCATGAAGTTAGAGAATTTGATCAAGGACTTATTTCTTATGGTATTATTTGTCAAGTGATTGTAGAATGCTTTAAACTTTCATCAACTCAAGATATGTCTTGTTGGTTAGTCTATGGGTTAGAAAGCTCCTTTATCTCTCACTTTCAAAGGGGACTGGGTCGCTTCAGATGAAAGATGTCTGGGATTTATAATCTTGTTTAGATTAAGGTTCATTGATCTAGCACGACATGAAAAATGTGATTGAGAATTCTTTGTAAACAAAGTTTGGTTTCCTATTTAATTTATTGTTTGCTTACAAATTGTTATGGATTTAAATTGAAGACTAAAAGTTGAGTTTGGAAAGTTCATGTTTACGGCTTACTTGAAATGCAATTTATAAGTGATAAGTTCAAGGTGTAATCTGAGTTCAAGTTTATACCAGTGGATTATTTGGAGTTAAAAAGGAGAACTTAAAGCATTCATCATTTCCTGCAAATATCATTTCAAGATCAAAGTTGTGAAGTTACAAAATTTATGAATTTTGTGTGCTTGGAATTTAGAGTTTACGTTAAGATTCAAGAGAAGTTATAAGAAACATCATGTTTCAAAACTCGCGGAATTTTACTTGGTTCATCATCATTCATCATAGTTCAAGATGCCATTTTCAAAGCTGTTCGAATGCACCATTCAAGTTTTCATAAAGATTCGAGGGAATTTGCAAAAAATTTTTTTTGAACTTTTCATGGAATTTTGAAGTATGGAAACAAAAGACAAGCTTCATTCAAGTTTGCTTTCAAAAGTTATAAGGTGGATTCATGTGATTTTTCTCAGCGTAATTCATTATGTAAAGTTTGAGATTCAAGTTCAAATGTCGTTCATCATGTTTTTCTAAACTCAAGTGATTCAAAATCACAAAGTTTCATCAAGAATTATCCATGTATGATCAAGTCCATTCAAAATTCTATTAGAAGTCCAAGAAAGTTTACCATGATTCATTACACAAAGTCAAGTTATTTCACTACCAAGTTACAAGAAAGTTACAAGAGAAACATAAAAATTCTTAAAGTCTTTTTCCTAACCTTCACAATTTCCACCATTTGAAACGTTTATTTGAAACTCCCTCTGTACCATTACAGGAACTTATTCAAAACAGCAGCCTGAATATTGCTTCAATACTTAACTAAATCTCATAATGTCAAAATTGTTCACACAAAGGTATTGTTTTGGCTTGCTCCATCCATCAGGATATCTTGAATTGTCCCTGCAAAAAAAAAAAAAAACCAGTTCGAGCATCCAACACCTTCGACCACCAATCCCAAATCCACTTTGCATCTTCTTTCAATCTTGAACCTTCCATTCACTCTTTCATCAAAAACCTTCATTCTATCTCTGATCTTCAAGCCTCACCGTTTATTCCATCTGGAACTCTTACAACATTCTTCTCACTCTCGCTTCAACCTGCATCCTCTTCTGAACTTCAGCTCTCGAATCTTCTCCAATTCGTACATTATTAACAAGAGATGCCGATTTCAGTTAGTATTGATAAGCCTAAATCTCAACATCATGAATTACTAGCCTCTTTCTTTAAGCTCGTTCTCGGAAACAATCTCAAATACAGTTTTTGTTATTTCTCTCCTGCCCCGAAGATATTGGAAGATGCTGAAGAAGAAAAGTTGAAACTATATTGCGAGAGACCAAATCTGAAAGATGGTCATACCGTCCCTGATGTTGGATGCGGTTGGTATTTTCTTACTTTATATATTGTTGAGAATTATAGTAATTGCAGAGTTATAGGAATCTGCACTTCCACATCTCAAAAAGTTTCTCGAGAAGAAACGCGTAGAGCTGCAGCTGCCAAAATATGGATATCATTGTTGCAGATATTAGCACATTTGAAAGGGAAGCTTCTTATGGCAATCATAAAAAAAGAAAGGAAGATAAAAAGAAGAAAATGCAGAGGAAATGAATCAAGAGTTGAATAAAAAATATAGAAAGGAAATTGTATAGTAGGCGATAAAAAAACAGATCTCTAACTGTCATGAATTGACAGCTAACTGAAAAAAGTGGGCAACATAATCTATAACAGAATCTCCAAGGCTATACAACAGATTTCCAACAGAATCGCTAGCTTCCTAACAAAAATTCTCTCACAGATTGAAAAGGAAGAGGAGAATCAGAACAGAATAAAATAAAAAAGGTGCTAACAGATTTGGGGAGACTTCAAAAAGGCAGGATTCGTAACGAATAAACTATCAAGAACTCACCTCTGAGATTCTCTCACCTTTTTACATTCTCTTTGAAATCTCTACTTCCTTGAAGATTTTCATTGATTCTTCAAGGTCTTCAATCTTCATCTTTCTAGATTCATCTTATGGAAATTGCATATCTTTGCGAATCGTGTTAGAATCTACAAGCTACGCATCATCTTCATCACATCGACACCGCTGAATCTGCAATATCACAACTACCACAACAGAAAACACAATAACGGAAGCGCACAAAATCAGAAATGTATAAGAATAAATGTCACGTAGATTCAGAGCTAAGATACGCATACTTGAGTTTCTATCAGCGACGTCGCTGTTGAAGAGCCCCCGGAGTTCTCCGGTCGGTAAGTCTTATTCCTCCATGAATTATACATCATTTATATTATCACTCTAAGGCTTTGATCTGAATTCCTAGCTTTTCTATGCACTGTGGTTTATATATTTGGTTTGATCTGGAAACGGTGAATGCGTGAGACTGAGAAGATGTGTTGATCGGCGAGGCGATCGAAAGAGAATCGTTGCAACGACATCTATGATGTGGCCGGTGTTGGTTTGAATTGAAGATGGTAAGAACAAGGTTATGTTGAAATTGTGGATTGATGAAGGCGAACTGAACTAGAAGCCAGGAGAAGGAGGAAGACAGGGGTGAGAAAGGATAGCCGCGGCGAACTATGAGAAATCGTTGCATATCAAAGAGGTTGAAGCTATTTCACGGTAGCGCTACGAGAGTTTAACAGCGATGTTGCATTTTGTTGAACAGAGTCGAAGGTGTCTTCCGCGTGAGCAGATTCGCGCCCTGAACAAAGAAGTTGTGCTGCTGCAACGAAGTAGAAGAGAAAGTCTCGTTCGTATTTCACGATGAAGATGAAACATAACATCCGAACCCTAATCTCTCTTTCAGTTTCAATTCTTTTTTTTTTAATTTAAATTATTAATTAAAAAATGCTGAACAAAAAGTTTGAGAATAATAAAAAAAGATGAATGAAGTATTTGTTAGATTATTGATTCGGATTCCCAATCCATTGGGCCTTGCTGCTTTCTCACTCTCCTCAGACCCATTGCCACCTTTTTGGTATATTTTCTGGTTTGTGAACAAAAATTTCCTTGGACCAATCACTTGGGCTTCTGTTTACTGTGAAACTGCCTTAGAGCCCGTTACAACTCCATTTTTCTGGTACAAACATTGCCTTGTAACAAAATCTGAACAAAAACCCTTCCTGGGCTCAATTTACTTGAGCTCCAGCGCCTGGATTTTTTGGCCATACACCATAACTCTTTCTACTTCCTTTGTTTTTGTAGATTTTGTCTTTTAGTTTAGATTCTTTTTTTTTGTATAATAAAATAGTAATAAAATACATATAATAAAACAATAAAAAAATTATAGATTTTAGGAATGTTTTTTAAGGTAATAAACTACAAGATCAATAAATTTTGTTAGACTTTTATGTGATTTTGGAAATTAATCCCTAATTTTTGATTACTTGAAACTTGTGAATCACCTTTGCTTGTTGAGTTGAGTCTTATGCAGGTTCATTATTTGATATGCGGATGTGTTTGGATTTCGATTGTGATTTATTTTCACGTCGATGAAGCTTCGACACCTATTCCGAGCATTCAATCTCTGACTGTTTGTTTATTGATGTCAGCTCGCGTGAAGTATTTCGGGTTTCTTTGCTTTGGTTACACTTTTTGCGGACACTATTGTTCGTTTGGTATTATACTGCTTCCAATTTATTTTTCCGCATTTTATTGCTTTCTAGATATCATGAGAAGTAGGAAATAAATAGCACGCGCTCGAAGTCGCTGTTTAAAGACCTGTAGCAGGCATTCCGTACTTCACTTATTATATGTGTTATGCTTGTGTTTGTTTCCTTTCTTGTTGATCGATGAGTCACTCAATTTAGAAATTGAGATCACGACTTCGCTCTCAGTGCATGCTCCCTATAGGACTTTATCGCTTTCCTTTATTTCTTGTTGATCGATGAGTCACTCAATTTAGAAATTGAGATCACGACTTCGCTCTCAGTGCATGTTCCCTATAGGGTAGTATGTTAGACTTTCTTTGGCATGCTAACTTAGATAGGATCCCTCATTGTATGATAATATTAGATTAGAGATAGGTTAGTATCCCTCAGATGTTTTCTTCTCATTTTGTATAATTGCATTTAAAACTAAAACTTCTTTTTCTTGGCAAATGAATAAAAATGCTAAGCATACAAAAAATTCTTTTCATGGTAAAAATACCAACCAATCCATTTCTTTTCTCCATTCAGCTTTTCTTTTCTAAGAGCATGTTAGATCCTTTCCACTACAGGTCATAAGTCTCCAAAGGTCGAGCAGCGGTGGAATGATCGAATGCAATATTGTTCATTTAAAAAATACAAACAAACAAAATATATGAGCCGAACTACGACGCTCTGATTCCTTAAAGGGAATACGTAGGCATCTGGTCACGGGGCTCAGCCGAGCGAAAATTGTAAATACTTCCTTCTTTTCCCGGTGTTTTCTTTGCATGCATTCCCTCTTAGTTTATAACCCTTAAGCATTAGATTGAACACACCCTTTGATTAGAATAACGAGAGTGGATCCCGTAGAGTACTATGGACGTGTAGGGTGCTAATACCTTCCCCTCGCGTAACTGACTCCCTTACCCAATATCTCGGTCGCAAGACCTTGATTTCCACCCTTTAGGGTTTTCTTCGATGATTTTCCTTTCCCTTTCATATGGGATAAATAAATACTCGGTGGCGACTTCATTGATTTTACCGCTACAGAAAAATGGCAACTTCACTGGGGAGAACTTGTCGACAAATGACTGGTCCATCCCGTAAGTCACTCCTAGCTCCCGTTTTTCTTTTCTTTGGGTGTTTATCATTATGCTTTATGGCTTATTCATTTGTATATGTTTGAGCATATGTTTGCATTGCATCTTTATTGTTATTTGTTATATTGTTGTTTTGTTGGTTTCTCTGTTTCTTTGTTGGGTGGGTGTTACTATGAGGTAAAAGGCCCAATATCTAGGCCAAGTGGCAACCACAGGAGCACTAGGAATAGAGTGGAATATGAATGGCTAGTTGACTTAGGTTTCACTATGTCTCTATGTCGCCTACGCTCAAATGAGGTACAAATGAGGGTCTATCATTTTCGCGTAGGTGATATGGAGATAGTTTTTTCAGGAGTACCCTCGATTCTGAGTAACCATTGACCTTACCATGACCTAGTCTTTACCCATGAGTGGGGATGGAATAATCTTTATAGGTACAAATGGTGACTATACATGTGCTGTTGGTGACTTTGGTTATGCCGGTGACTTTGGTTCTTGGTATTCTGATTTGGTCCGGACCTTTGATCTTGTTACATGTGACCATGGTTCCGTTATCAGTTCAGAAACTATTCAGTATTGCGGAAGCTTTGATCCCACATGTTTGCATGCATAACATGTTAATGTAATTATCAACATACATGTTTTTCGTTTCCAAACATCATTTCCTTGATTCCAATTGATAAGCAAAAAAATAACAATAAATAGTGAAAAAATAATGAATACATAAAAAAATATAATAGTACCGTGGCTTAAAAAACGGAATCAAAGCATCTAGACTTTTGGAAACAAGAACACGGAATTTGTGTTGCATGTCATGCATCATATTACATTTAAATATACATTTTATGAGTTCCCAAGAAGTCTTACCCTAGGTCCTTTGGTCTTCAGAAACAAGTTGTCTCATCAGTACAACACTCGTGCTAAGGGAAGATGGAAAGCATTAAGCAAGAGATATTTGAACTCCACGAAGAGGTAGATACTTTGAAGGCTGATATGGAATATCTAACTGCTTTGGTTAAAACTTTGGTTGCCGCCCAAGTCAATCCTTCTAGGAAGGAAGAAGAGATGGAAAAAGTCTTCACATAAACTTTGAAATAATTCTTTCATGAGAAGGTTATAGTCAATGAACCCAATGATTTCCCAGAAGAAGTGAATGTGGGAGTGCTTTTAGAACAGGACGTCCGAAAGGAATGTTTATCTGAAGACAGTGGCACAACTAGTGGTGTGAAAAAAATTTTATATTAATTTTTCTAAGAAGAGAACCAGAAGAAGAAACAATCAACATCATAATCAGCATGTTTCTTCTGTCATCCATGTGTTCAATTTACCTCTTGTTGCTCCAGTTTGTCAACAGAATCAACAAGTTCCTAATCATAAGAAAGCTCAGTTTGATCCAATTCCAATGACTTATATAGAGTTGTTTCCTATCCTAATGAAGAGGAATTTGGTTCAGACCCGACCTCCACCGAAGATTCCTGAGAAGATACCTTGGTACTACAAAACAGATTTGACTTGTGCTTTTCATCAGGGATCCCCTGGGCATATTATCTAACAATGTTATCCATTAAAAGCTGAAGTCCAGAAATTGGTCAGAAGTGGTATCTTGTCACTTGAGGGTATTTGTCTTGAGGTTCAAGCCAAGTCTTTGTCGAAGAATAAACGTGAATGAAGAATGCCCTGGGTTTTAAGGATGATTAGTCTTCTCATGTTTGCTAGCAATTTTACTGATTTCTCATTTGTAATTCTTCTTGTTAATCATTGTACGATTTTCATGTAAGAACTTGTTTACATTCGAATGATCATCTTAATACAATGAATATGTTTGTCTTGAAGAAATCCATTCGTTTCACTCGTATTTTTTTAATTTTAAATTGCTTTTTGCATTATGATACTAATTTGTTATTCATTCTCTTTCCTAGGCATGGTTTGGAGGGAGGATGATGAATTTAAAATGCAAAATTTCTGGTTGTATGCTTTTCAATAAAACCCTGTTGACGATGTACATGCATTGTTTCAAATTCCCAAACACCAGAGATATAAGGGAGTGAAACCCTCATTAACCCCTTTGAGCCTTGAAGTAGGAGTTTCTTTTCTATTCAGAAACCCTCATTTTTAACCTGGGGCAGGGTAGTGTTCAGTTAACTTGATCGAGCGTTCGGAACTCATTAGAAATGCGCATATAAGGATACAACAATGGTTATCCTTCAAAAGGTTGAGGAGAATATTGCAATGGCTAACCTTCACTTATCAAGAGTGTGTGTCAATTGATGATACCCCAATGAGTATCTCTCGCACCTCAGAAAGTCAGTAGACGATGATACAACAATGGTTATCCCTCATCTTCCAAGAAATAGGGCAGTCACAATTCTTCCAACAAGTCGAAAATGACTCAATGTCACGCGACATGGTCAAAAGGAAATAAAAAGTAATATAAAAATGAATGAAAAATGAAATGAATAAGAATTGAATAGAGAAAGAGACAAAAAATCCTCACTAAGTAGAAACTTGAAAAAACAAGTCTCTTAGGCAAAAGTCAGGGCATCCCGCTGGGCTTCATAGACAAATTCAAAAAGAATTTGTCCAGGCAAAAGTTAGGGAAAATGATGGAAAGCCTGAAAGGCGAAAAAGGATTACAAAATTGATATCCTTAGCAAGGAAATATGTTGCGTGATCATACAATAAAAGTAAAAAATAAGTGATTGTCGTATCCAAAGAAAACCTTGGTTGGTTTCTCAACTGTCTCGAAATTTTTTTGAGAGATGAATGTTTAGATCGAGTCAACTAAACTTAGGACTGGATAACATCATGAAGGGGGTGGGCACCAAATAACTTTGATCCTTAAAATCCGTTTTTCTAAAAAAACC